GGAATGGAGCGGGGATGGGGAGGGCAACCAGCAAAGCCAGAAGCCAGGGGAAACCCCACAGTGGAACACTGTCATGGCAATGCCAAGATCTTCCCTGACCAGTGGCTGTCCAGGGGGCGGGGAGCCAGGACTTGTAGTTTCCCCCTCTGACTCTTCAACTGAAGCAGAATCTACTGATTGGGAAGGAGGATCAAGGACCAGGACTCCTGGGTCCACTCCTCACTTGGGAGAGCCTAAGTAGCTCATGCAAACAGAGAAAAGCCACTTACCAAGTTGCACTGACCAGGGCTTTGAGGTGGGTCCTAGAGTGCAGATGGAGAGGATCCTGTTCTGGAGACGAGAGAGGTGACCTGTCTCTCCATCTACCTTGACTCCTCTGAGTGTCAAGCTGGCTTCCTCTTGCCTTTTGAAGATGGGTTGTGTCAGGGGCTCTGATAAAAGAGAAATTTGAATGAAAGAGCCTCCTTTTCTCAGAAACTACACATTATCAGTCCTTGCCCCTGTGGGGCAGAGGCGGGGTCAACTTTCATGCATCAGGCAGGTGCACCTCATAAAAGATATTTTCCCAGGCTGATCCCAACCCCCTGCCTGAAGCAGGATCAGCCCTGTCCACACCATCTCAGACAAATCCACGGTCTGACCTTTTACCAAAAACAGTCACTCCTGTCCCAGAACAAAAACTTTCCACAGGTCAAGTTGGGAAAACAAGGCAGCTGATGTCCTGTTGCTGTAAAAGATTGCTGATATACACTGAAGGGATCTCGGGAAGAGGGTCACAGCCCCAGTACACAGAAAGGCAGCACCCTCCCAGTCTGTATCAGTCTGATACATTCCTTCCTGACCCCAAATGTAGGCTTGGTCTGGCCTTGAGCAAAGGAGCAAGACCCTCTAGCCGGAAGCCTTTGGCTTTGGTCCCAGCAGAAGCGCTGGCACATTGTCCATGGGGCTAGGAGCCAGGACTCCTGGGGCACATCTACATGTGCATTAATGCACTTCAGTTAACACACATAAAAACCTAGTACCTCCATTGTAAGGTGCTAGGAGAATGTGTGTTACCCTGTTTTAATGTATATCAACTAAAGAGCACAGGGCATTTGTAAACACACACGCACCACAGCGGTGGGTGCTTTGAAAAGTGCCTGATACTGCAGTGTGTGCAGTTGTATAAGCGGTGGAATGCACGTCAGCACTGAGGAAATGGTGGCTGTGTGCTTTAGAGTCAGGTGCTTTCATTCAAAAGTGCACCAGCACCATTGTCTGTGCACTGACACATATTTTGCCGCTAATTTGACTTGGTTAATTGAGCCTGTTCCAGCACGCCGGATCTCTGGTGTGTCTCTGCACAAATATGTATATGCATAAATGCCCACAATTTTTACGTGACACTTAATGCACATTAGCCTATTTTAATATGCATTAACTAAATAGCACTTTTTTCAGTGATGCTTTAATGCATATTAAAATAGGCTAATGCACATTAAAGCGCATGTGTAGACCTGCTCCTGGTTTCCATCTCTGGCTCTTCAATGGAAGTGGGATATACTAATTGGGAAACAGGTTCCAGGACCAGGACTCCTGGGTCCACTCCTCATTTGGGAGAGCCTTATTAAATCATGTGAAGACCAGAGAGAAGACACTTATCAAGCTGCACTCACCAGGCCTTTGAGGTGGGTCCCTGGAGTGCAGATGGAGAGAATCCTGCTCTGGAGAAGGGAGAGGTGACTTTTCTCTCCATCCTCTCTGACTCATTCAAGTGCCAATCTGGCTTTCTCTTTCATTCTGAGGATAGGCTGTGTCAGGGGCTCTGATAAGAGAGCAATTTGAATGGAAGACTCTCCTTTTCTCGGCAACCACACATTATCAGTTCCTGCCCCTGCGGGGAAGAGGCTGGGTTGGCTTCCAGGCATTAGGCAGGTGCACCTCACAAGAGATATTTGCCCCTCCTGTCCATTGAGCCTGGAAAATGCCATGGCTGTCATCTTGCCAATGGAAGCTAAAGTGAGCCAGCTGTCATTTAGTGTGGAAGAGGAGCAGACCCACAACACAGAAAATAGAGAAGGAGCCTGGAACATGACCATGCCTCAGGTGTGGCAGTGACCCACCTGGTGGTCACATGGCTTCTGACCCACTCGTCTTCCCCAGGTGCCCTCACTTTTCTGTTCACCTCCCAGGCTCTGATGGCATTACTTCCCCGTTGAATGTAGCAAGCTCAAAATGTACAAGTCATTTTGTGTTATAAAGTGTGTTCTGGCTTCATGCTGCTGTGTATCTTGTTTGTACCATATATTGTGTCTCCTCTAGGACTGAAGGAAGACCACCTCCTATCCCCCTCATTGTGTCCAGACCCTTATCTTAAGATTTCTCAAAAGAACCTGTAAAACCAATTTAGTGACTTCGGTCAGATCCAGGAGCACTGACCACCTTTAAATCAATTCGACTGCATTAGCAGTGTTTCAATGATGCTGTTTCTTGATTGGGCCCTGTGATGAGGTCAGAAAAGTTATTTAAGGGTCAGTGCACCTGGGTTGGAGACTCTTCATTTTTTTCCCTTGGGTTGCCTCTGTGGAGGGAAAGGGGAATGCTGGGATGCTTGCTGGAGCCTGAGGCCAAGCGGTACAGAGCATCAAGGTTTCAAGTCAAGTAGCCAGTGGGGTTTGGACTGGGAATACAAGGCAGGAGCTGGCAGCTCACCCCCACAGCCACTCAGGCAAGAGCAGAGATTGGTGCTCCACAGGAGCTCAGTGAAGTCACATAAATGAGAATCCAGGGCAGGAGCAGAGATCGACACTCCCCAGCAGATCAGTGGAGTCGCATCAACTCACCCAAGGGCCCTTCCCATCACAGAGGGAACCAGCATCCCCCAGCAGACAGCGACAGTGAGGGAGACAATGCATCCACATTCCCAGCAACTAATCTCTTCTGGGTGGAGACTCTCCCACTCTTGGAGAGTTGAGCCTGGAGTCAAAGGCTCCCCAATAGGAGTAGGGGCGATACAGGGTATACTTTGCACTGGGGCGGTATTGTGTTTTCTCTTGACTGTATTTTGTGTTCTCTGTAATAAACCAGGGGTTTGTGTTCATATTGCTTGCCAGGGAAGGGTCATTGGTTTTATTGTACACCTTAGTCTTTCATTTAGTGTTTCCCAGGTGGTCAGGATGGGGAATTGAGCTGAGATGAAATATATTTAACATCCCAAAATTGAACCCGGCCCTTGTTGCTGCTGATGGGTGCCCAGCAGGTTTACATGTAGAAGGGAGCCTGCCCCAGGGGCCCTAAGCAAGCCCTAGCTTTCCTTGGCCAGTGAGTCCCTCCCATACCCAGCTGCCCCCAGTCCCATTCTTCCAAGCCCCCCAGGTCCCATCAAGGCCCCACTTTAAGAGATATGTATGGCCCCCTACCTTCCCTAGAACCACAGCCATGCCTTGTAGGTGATCTTAGTCCATGCACCAGCTTGTACGGACTTCAGGCTTCTTGGCTTTAGTCTGGTGGTTATGCCTGCTGTAGACTGCCAGCCTAGGCCCACTTCCTCTGACCCAGCTTTGGAGTCTTAGCCTTGTCTGGTCCTAGGCCAGTCTCACTCTGCTTGTACTCAGGCCTCTTAGCTGGAGCCTGCCCCTTCCTCTCTGTTGGGACTCAGGCCCTGGTTCTCACAGCTGGAACCTGCCCCTGATAGCACTAAAAAAACAGAGCACCTTGGAGGCAGCCCTGTGTGGCCTCCCATCATCCCTACCAGCCATTATCCAGTCCTCTGGCCCTTAATGAGAACATATGGACAAATGCACAGGATGGGCAACCAAAAGTCCCCTCCCCCTTGCTGGGTCACTAACTTCCTCATAGGCTACAGGTCCCCTTTAGCATTATAGCTATGTGGAAGAATCCTCTTCCAGCCTCCAGCTTTTAAGGTTTGGGGGGGTTTTCCTTCCTTTTGTTTTGTTCTTCTCACCTGGCTGTCACTCTGGTTCCCTGAGTTACAGTGTATGTGATCTGAGTCACCTAGCCTCCACTGTACTGAGCCCTAGCATCATGACCTGGAGAGCCAGGGCTTGAGTCCTGGCCAAGGTGTGCTGCTTTTCAAATTGGTTTGTTGGCCTCAAACAACACCTGTCCCTGATTGGGTCAGGAAGGTGAGGTCAAGGGAACTATTTAAGGGGGAGGCTCTCCAGGAAGGGGCCATGTTGGGACTTTTACACAGCAAGTTGAACCTTTGCAATCCTCACCCACTTCTGGGATGCTGAAGTGAGTAAAATACCAGAAACTTAACTCAACAGGTAGCTTACAGTAATGTAGATGCATTGTAAATGGCTATCAGTCCAGGTCTGTTTGCTCTGGGTATTCTCTGACTCGTACCCCGCCTCAAGCCTACCCCTCTCTCCAATAAAGCTATGCACTATAACAAGCTTTGTGGTACATGTTTGAGAGGGAACTGGCATGTCTTCTTATTCCCTTGGCTCAGCTGACTAAGGGAGACTATTTTCTGTGCTTCAGGAAGCACCCCAAGATCTGGCAGAGGGTCAAGCACCTTCAATGTCCACAAGGCCTGTGTAACCTGGGGGGCACAGGGCCTGTACAATGACCAGACCCTGGGCAGCGGCTGCAGTTACCCCAGGCTTGCAGGTGTGCTCCAGGAAGGGGGCGGCCAGATGTGAGGCACCCGGAGATTGGCGGGTGGCTCAGCACAGGAGTGCCCCCTACTGGCCCACCACAAGCTATGTCTCTCAGGGAGAGGCCAGGTGCCGGCCCGAAGTCCCTTCCAGCAGCCATCCTACTTAGGAGCTCCTCTCCCTGCCACCTAAAGGGCCAGACTGACCACTCTAACTCAGGCCCTGGATTTATATGCCTCCAAGCTCCACCCCTCTTCCTGTCACATGGCTCCCCAGACACATGCAGGAGGTTCCTCTTTTAATTAAGAGCCAGCCTGAGCTCCAGCTGGTGCTTCCAACTAGGGGGCTGGAAATATCTCAGGATCTCCTCAAGGGCACCCCCTGCTGGAATCCCCTTCCCCATCCTGCAAATATCATTCCCCCAAATGTAACCAGGCAGCTCAAAAAGTCTCTTTCCGCATTCCTTTTATTTCCTGGAATGGAACATCAGAGAAGCAAACCCATGTGGAGCCCAAGGGCACCAGGCCAGGGCAGAACAGTTGCAGAGTAGGGATTTAGGACTGCATTGCTATCCCACAGGCTGAGGCTCAGGCAAGGAACATTGCTAGGATCAGCCCACTGAAGGCTGGGAGCAAAAGCCTGGAGTGTCCCGGGGATGAACTGGCCAATCCGAGGGCTCGAGCACACATGTGCTGGCTGATGTTGAGTTGAAATACTTCAAAGACTTTTTGGCTGCCATCTCCAAAGGCATCTACAAGGGCACAGGCTGATGGTGTTGCACAGCTTATGAAAGAGGTTGCCATATTTCCAGGACCTCAAGATGGGAAAGAGCAGAGAAATCAGGGTCAGGAGACCCACAGGCACTTCCATCTCTGTGTCCAGTCCCTGCCATTTTCCCTCCTGAGAACCATCCAAGACCACAGCCACCTGACTCTGCTCTGCTGCCCCAGCCCTGATGCCCCCATTTCCTTTTCCACTTCAACAAGTTTCAAGTGTCCTCTGATAAAAATCCATTGGGCCCCATCCAGAGCCAGCTAGATCCCCCCCCCCCCCCCCCCCCCCCCCCCCCACCCCCTCAACCCTCAATGATCTTTGGAACAGACTTGACACCACATCACTATTCAGAGAGCCACTGAAAGTTTTCCAGTGGTGCAATCTCCAAGAACTGTGGCCCTGTAATCCAGGGAGGCACCACTGAGGGGCACCAGCGTCTCGGGCTGTATTCCCACCTCTGTCGTGACCTGCCAAGAGAACTTTCAACCATCATTGCCTTACTTCCATGGCCAGGCAAAGGAAGATACAGATTTTTCCCTCTGGTTTGATTTTGAGTTCTTTCAAGAAGGGGCTGCTCTGAGCAGGCAGATGAATACACCCTGACAAAATGAAGGAAGGGAAAGACTGGTCCCTGGGACTGGGCAAAGCTTGGGGAAGAATCTGGCAGGGTCCCCAGTGGCAACAGGGATTTGACAGTCAGTTGTTTTGTTAGGGTCAGGTAAGGGAAGGGAGAGAGATGATCCCGCACCCCAGGGGAGGAAGAAGGACATGGAGTTACCAGAACCGTGTGACCCAGTGACATTCAGGCATTGATTCTCCTCTCCAGTGCAAGCCGACACTGTGGCATTGCAACTATATGTACTCCCCAGTACAATACAGTAGGGGCAGTACAGCCCATTGGGAACGACGTTCTCTGCAGACACTGCAATGAACAGAGCAAGGGCTGTCAGCTTGTGGGACCTTTGGGGCACCAGAGAACCCCAAATCTTGCCCTGAGGGACATTAGTTGAGGGCACAAGTTACCCCTGAGCAGAATCCCATCCAGCCTAGGGACCCAGTGAGACTTAATGAGCCACCCATGGCAGGGCTGGAGGACCAAGCAGACCCTGAGTGGTTTATGCTCCAGGATGGAGGTGGATCCATGGCAGGAGGAAATGGAGCTGAGGGGCTGGGTGGTAGGGACATGGTTACGTACACTGGGCAGAAGCAGTCTTGCAGGAATTCCCAGTGCAGCAAGTGAGGGCTATCCTTTGTTTCACTGCAGAATTAAAGATGGCTGGACTCCGTCCACAGACACGGGAAGTCACACAGCCCTTCATAGTCTGGATGTACTTCACTGAGCCTATAATGGAGAAGAAGGAGCTGAGCCCCTCTGACATTTCAACCCCAGAGCCCTGCTCTGAAAAGGGAAGGTCACTTCCACACCCTCGCCTAGAGGGGAAATGGAGGCAGAAGCAGGGACATACCTGAGGTCACAGAGACCCTGGAGTAGCACCCAGGGGTCCAGGATCCCACCTCTCCTGCTCCCCCTATTCTGAGCCCCCAGTCCCCACTGCCCTCCAAGAGTGGGGACAGAACCCAGGCATCTCGGCTCCCCGATCTCCCTACTCTTACCCCCGGACTCCAATCCCTTCCCAGAGCTGGGAGAGAACACAAGGGCCCTGGGCCCTCAAACCTGGTTATAATTGAACCACTGCTTAAACACTGGACTCACCAAAGGTTTCTGATCTTTCTATCAGAGCAAGGAAGCAGCTGTCTTCTCCAGAGCTGCAGGTCGTCATTACACCATTGCAGGTGTTGCCTGGACCACTGCAAACCTCACATTCCAGGCAGGTCCCTGTAGAAAAGAGAAAAGGCTGTATCAGGATCTGGTCCCTCCCTCATCCTGGGCTTGTACAGGAAGCCCCAGACCTAGTCCCACTCCCTAGTCACCTGCCACTCCCACTGTAGCCCCTTGACCCTGAACTGAGAGGAGTCCCTGCAGGACATCTCAGAGCCACTGAGATGTGCTGGGGACTTGGCCCCTGGGACTTAAATGAGGCAATTACCCCAGCCCCAGCTCACGCTTGGGCTTTTCATATAGGGACAAGCTTCTCCAGGGAATGGTGCCCCTCACCTGCAGCCAGGAGAGCGGAGAGGAAGAGGAGGATGACAGGAGCCTTCATCCTGGGAGCCAAAGGTGGCTGGGCACTGGGGAGGGTCTTCAATACAGTAAAACTCTCTGACTGGTGAATCCTGAAAGAGATCAAAAGGATTGCATGGGGGGGGCAGGGATCATCAAACCAGAGAATTGAAGAAGTGGGGCAGAGGAGACCTCTGGAAGTCACTTCTAGCCCAACTGCTTGCCTGTGGCAGGATCAGCCCTATGCAGACCATCCCAGACAAATCCCCTGTCTGACTTCTTAGCAAAACCAGTCACCCCTGACCCAGAACCTTCCACAGGTAAAGGTGGGACAGGACCCTACAGCAGCCAATGTCCTGCTGCTGTAGAAGGTTGTTGATATACACTGAGGAGGTCCCAGGAGGAGGGCCATGCCCCCAACTACAGAGGAAGGCAACACGCCACTCCCGCCATCTTTACCAATCTGACCCGGGGGCGGGGGGGGGGGGGGGGGGGTGGAAATTCCTTCCTGACCCCAAATGTGGAATCAGTTTGATTCCGAGTGGAAGGGCAAGACCTTCTAGTCAACACCCTTTGGGGTTGGTCCCAACAGAAGTATTGGTGCAGTCAAGTTACCACCACCAGCCTAGGCTGCAGCCAATGCCCAATGCCTCTGGGGGAGGCTTAACCCTCCCCAACCCCGAGACATGGAGCAAAAAGTTGGGGGGGGGGAGCACCAGCAAGGTTCAGAAGCCTGGGACATATCCACAGTGGAACAGAGGCATCACTATGCCTAGATCATCCCCAACCAGGAGCTGTCCATGGGGCTAGGAGCCAAGACAACTTGTTTCCATCTCTGGAATCAGTAGTTCCCACTTCAGTGGAAGTAGGATCCACTGACTGGGAAGGAGCTTCCATGACCAGGACACCTGGGTCCACTCCCCACTCAGGAGAGCCTAATTAGATGATGAGAAGACCAGAGAGAAGCCACTTACCAAGTTGTGCTGACCAGAGCTTTGAGGTGGGTTCCTGGAGTGCAGATGGAGAGGATCCTGCTCTGGAGAAGAGAGAGGTGACCTGTCTCTCTGTGCTCCTTGATTCCTCTGAGTGCTCTTGCCCTTTGAGAAAGGGCTGGGCAGGGCCTCTGATGTCAAAGAGTCACTTGAGTGGAAGGATCTCCTTTTGTTGGAAACCAAACTTTCAGGTTTCCTTCACCTGCAAGCAATGGGTGGGGTTGTCTCCCAGGCATCAGGCAGGTACACCTCAGCAGGTACAAAATTTGCTTAGTTAGGCCCCAGAGTGTGAACAATACCATGGTTCTTATCTCCTTGCCCACAAAACCTAAGCCAAGCTAGCTTTCATTAGTGTGGGATAGGAATGGATGCACAACACTGTTACCATGGTAAATGAAGGAGGAGGGAAATAAGGAAGTGTAAAACCCCTGCAGTTGGTGCCAGTTGACAAACATGCTTCCTGACCCCAAATTTGGCATGAATTTGACCTTAAGAGGAAGAGCAAAACCCTCCAGGCTGTGGGTTTGCTACGTCTCTGCAGCACCCCCAATTTAAGAGCTGGGACCAAAGTGTCACAGATCCAGAGGAAAGAAAAAAAGGACCCAGGAGATTATCACATGGAGAGAGAGTTACATCTTTCACCCAACAAGCAGTATGGTTGTCTGGTCTAGCACCCCCTTCTGGCTCACACTTCCAGGAAACCACAGCTCCAGGGACAACTCAATGCCACCATCCTTAAAGAATCAACCTCTCCAGACAAAACAGCCTGATGTATCCAGTGCAGGGTTTTCTTACCTAGGCTTTTGGGAAAGGGTTTCAAGGGACCTAGGTAACCCTCCCCTGTGTAAAGGGGGTAGTCTGTTATTCCATACTAGAGGGGAGAGCTGGTTCTGAAAGAAATTTGGGAACAGGTATTTTCTCCCTTCATTATGTGTTATTATTATTCTTTCTACTGGGCAGCAGGCTAAAGGGTGGGCAGCAGAGGCCCTGAGGGCTGCTCTTTAAAAAAAGCACAAGGGGGCTTGGGATCCAGTCACTTCAGGGCCAAACATGAGAACCAAGCCCCATCCCAGAGCTGGGAGAAAACCCTGAAGTCTTGGCTCCTAATTCCCATTGCTCCATCCAGCCAAAACTACCCCCCAAGCAGAACTGGAGATGAAAACAGAGAGTCCTGGCTTCCAACCTTCCTTCAATCTACCAGAGACAGTGAAATCCCTGCTCCAACCACCAGAACTCAATGGTCTCCCAGAGCTGGGAGAAGACCCAGGTGTCTTAGTTACCAGACACTGGTTCTCTAACATGCCATACCCCACCCTGGTACTTAGAGTAACGTAGCTCAGAAATCTCAACCGTATGTGTGCATAATAGTTGTATTTCTATTGTGTCCACCTGACATCCACATTTCACACTTGTGTTGGCCTTTGCCCAATAAAAAACAGCCACACCCAGGCGTTGGCAATAGGCCAATGTCCCCGAGGCATCCCTGTGAAGCCAGCATACTTCCTCATATACATGACTTCTAGGAGTCTTCTGAGCAAATTCATAAAAATTGAGCTAATGGCCAGCTGTATCTTGCCACACCCCTTCAAGGCCCTGCACTGTGAGGGTCCTACTCACAACTGGATGGACAAAGGGGTCCCCTGTGGTGTCAGGTGCTGGGACCTGATTTGCCAGGCACTGCAGAGACTCCACCCAAACCACCACGAAGGCTTTGGATTCCTTCCTGCCTATGTCACATCCAAAGCTTCCTCAGTGTTTCCTTCCCTGTTTCCACCAGCTCTTCTTCCTTGGAGAGGTCCATGGTGGACTGACTCTTCAGTACCACAGAAACATCCCTATGCCACCCAAGTGCCCAAAACAGGTGTAGGGTCCTATGGGAACAACCCATGCCTCAGCTATCTGTACCTCAGGTGGCCTCTGAAGCAGGCCTTGGACCCTCAGAAGCTTCCTCCAGGAGCTCAGTACAACTTCAGGACACCACTGTCTTGTCCCTTTCTCCACCACAAATCTCAGATGATAGCCCTCACTCTATTTCAGGATGAAATCCAGGTCCTCCTCCTACATGGGGCTCTGGCATTGGAAGAAGGGCTAGGATTCAGTGGTGATGGATCTAAAAGAAAGTACTTCTTGAGGACTGTGAGATGCACGCACCCCCTGAGGTTCTCCGGAGCCCTGGAGCTCCAAATCCCACCACTAAGGGGCACCAAACATCTCCCGTCTTTCTCCAGAGCACCACTTGCTGGAATCAGTTTTCCCAGCATAGAAGCCCCTTCGCTTGCCCCTCAAGGCCAAAAGCAAAGCAGAGGTTTCAGAAGCAAAATCTTTGCATTTCCTTTTCTTGCAATAAATAGTTAATAAATATTGTGTCCAGTTTGGGTCCCCCACTACAGAAAGGATGTGGACACATTGGAGAGATTCCAGCTGAGGGCAACAAAAATGGTTTGGGGGCTGGGCTACATGACTTGTGAGGAGAGGCTGAGGGAACTGGGCTCAGTGGCAATGTATGGGGTTGCACGGGGGTGTACATGCACCCCTAGGAGTGCTGGTGGACCCTCTGACAGCCAGCACTCCCTGCTTAGGTGATGGGGCAGGGGGTGGCAGGCGGGAGCACCGGTGCCCTTCGTATGAGCACTGGCCGGAGAGTGGGGGCACCATGAGAAGCACCACTGGCACTTTAGGGTGCCCTGCTCATGCCTCCGATCAGCCACCGGGGACCACCCCCAGCCCCCGGTCGCTGACCTCCTGATTCATAGATTCATAGATGTAGGGTTGGAAGGGACCTAAGTAGACCTTCAAGTCTGACCCCCTGCCCTGGGCAGGAGAGAATATTGGGCTCATATGACCCCAGCCAGGTAATTATCAAGCCTCCTCTTACAGACCCCCAAGGTAGGAGCCAGCACCACTTCCCTTGGAAGTTGGTTCCAGATCCTAGTCACCCTGACAGTGAAGTAGTGCCTTGTAATGTCCAGCCTGAACCTACTCTCAAACAACTGATGACTGTTATTCCTTGTTACTGTGGGAGGTGCTTGGGTGAACAGAGTTTCTCCCATTCCCCACTGGTCTCCCTTGGCCAGTTTATAGACGGCCACCAGGTCCCCCCTCAGCCTTCTCTTGTGGAGGCTGAACAGGTTCAGGTCCCGTGGCCTCTCCTCGTAGGGCCTGCTCTGCTGTCCCCTGACCATGCGAGTGGCCCTCCCCTGGACCCTCTCCATGCTGTCCACATCCCTCCTGAAGTGCGGTGCCCAGAACTGGACGCAGTACTCCAGCTGCGGCCTGACCAGTGTCGTGTAGAGGGGGAGGATCACCTCCTTGGACCTGCTCGAGATGCATCTGTGGATGCACGACAAGGTACGGTTAGCCTTACTGACCGCATCCTCACATTGGTGGCCCATGTTCATTTTGTAATCGATAATGACTCCAAGATCTCTTTCTACCACTGTGCTTTTGATAAGGGAGTTCCCTAACGTGCAAGTATGCTGCTGGTTCTTCGTCCCCAGGTGCAGCACCTTGCACTTGTCATTTTTTAATATCATCCTATTCTCATTCGCCCACCCCTGTGCCCCGTCCAGGTCCAGCTGTATCCTGTCCCTCCCTTCTAGCGTGTCCACCTCACCCCAAATCTTGGTGTCGTCAGCAAATTTAAACAGGGTGCTTTTCACCCCCTTGTCCAAGTTGCTAATAACAGGCAGGTCCAAGGAGGTGATCCTCCCCCTCTATGCGGCACTGGTCAGGCCGCAGGTGGAGTACTGCGTTCAGTTCTGGGCACTACACTTCAGGAGGGATGTGGACAACATGGAGAGGGTCCAGAGGAGGGCCACCCACATGATCAGGAGTCAGCAGGGCAGGCCCTACAAGGAGAGG